TTCTTCCCAACGGTGTAATCTGCAACAGGGTGGGGACAGGGTCAGCATGCGTCAGTCTGGCTCTCTGCGCCTTAGCACATGGCGCTCCCTCCCTCGTGGGTGGAAGGCCAACTGTCAGCTTATTAAGTCTCCAAAAACCAACCGAGGTACGCTCTTTAACCTTGCGGCTCAGATCCCCAAACAGAAGCAGGCAGCTCTCTAATCACAGGCACAAGGGTAAGGATGGTCCTTTGAGCTTGTGCGGAGTCTTTAATCAGAGAGCTGCAAAGCTGCTGCATGGACACGGCGTCACGGAGCAGGTTCGTGCCGCAGACACAAACTCCATCACTGAACAGAGTCATGAGAGAGAAACCAGCTCCAGCTGCAGCCCCCCTGCCACAGGCAGAGCCAGAAATGCTCAGCTGATGCAGTAACATCCGACGGCAGCAGCCAGCTCCCTCCCAGGGGCAAGCTAACTGCCTTGACCTGCAAGATCTTCAGTTTTAGAGCCCATCTTTGGTTTCGGAACAGAGCTAAACCTACCAGCCTCACAGGCAAAGCTTAGTGAAAACTCTGCGAAGTGCTTTGAAGCTGCAAAGCTCCCAAGCACTCAGCATGAATCAGGCACCCCAGCTCCACAGGCTGCTGATGTTCCTCCCCACAGCTGAGAGGAAATCAGACAGCGTAATTACAAGGTATGCATTTAGCCAAGATGCCACATTTCATTCCCGAACTTGGACAGACACAATGGATCAAGCTCCTTTATAAACCACAAGTAATCAAGGCCTTTTCTGTACATCTCATCTGCAAACTCCATTCCCAAGCCCCACAGCGCGGCGAGGAGCAGGATGTGAGATCTGAGGATGACTCTTTGTCTGCACAGATACACACAGAGGAGTTAGACCAAAGTAATTTCTAAAGCTGTTCCTTTGCATTCTGCAAGCAGATTTAGGATACCCTTAATTTTAATTAACTCCTAAAGTGAGTTAAACAAAGCTCAATTAAGCCCATTTAAATGGCAGAAGTCACACCACACTCCTCCAGCAAAGGGCTAATCCCCCTAAATCTCCCCCAACTCCTCCTCCAAACATTTGGCCTGGAGAAGCTCACCCAGCATTCAGGCATCATTCCTTCCAACACCATCTGAAGCTGCTTTGCTTTTGGCACTTTCCAGGTCTGGAGAAGTACCTCCTGTGCCGGCCCTGGCACAATCAGCATCCTGAGCTTCCCGTGCTGCCCACGGGCAGAGCTGCATCACCCACCTTCGATCAGAGCTGCTATGTGCTGGCTTTTCTGAGAAGGAAGCTCCCTCACGATATCCAGGGCGGTCAGACCTCTGTTATCCTTTATGTTCACATCGATACCTGTGGCAACAGGGGCAGAGAGGGCAAAAGCAAGAACGTTGCCTAACTAAGTGCAAGTTCAGGCTTTTCATCAAGCCACGTTAGTGATCGTCACTGGAGGAGCTACAAAACGCTCTAGAGGAGAATCTAAAGGCAAACTCTGAGAGTCAACCTCCACTACAACCTGCTCCGAGGAGCTCCGACAGCCGCATGGAGCAACCTGCTGCACTAGAGGCATTTCCTCGGGCCCTGGGTGAAGGGATCACCACATTACTGCTTTAAAGGGGGAACATTCTCTCACCTGCAGCCAGCAATATTTGTACCACATCTGTCTTGCCAAACAAAGCAGCTTCGTGCAAAGCACTGCCTTTCTCAGTCTGCAAATTAAATGGAAACATAGCATGAAGCCAGAGAGCAGGGAATGGTGAGGGAGGCACAGCTGAGAGGGTTACAGAAGCAATCAATACACAGCCTTGTACACAGGCGTGGGCAGCACCGCCCATGGCTGGGGAGACTGTCAACGTTACCACAGTGCTGAGGATGTGGAATGCAAAACGGGGATGGTGCTGTGGGAGAGGTGTGGGCCCAGGTGAGACCAACAACGGCCCTGCCACAGCTCAGCGAGAGGTCGTGTGCTGACAAGGAAAGACAAGCCCCCCCACAAGCCACTGCTGTGAAAACAGCACGTTCACAAGTGGCTTGATAGGAAGAGGCATTTGCCTCCGCTGCTATCACGAGCTCACTGCACTGCAGGGCGGAACAGCTGCGGCAAAAGGGCATTTCTCTGTCCCTTGCTGCGGCCGGGGCTTTGCCCAGCCCCTGCGCAGGCGCCAGGCATGCACAGCACCCCGGTCCCTCTGGGCAGCTTCGCCGAGCAACCAAGAGCTGCGCAGACAGCCCAGCAGCACACAAAGCTCTCCACACCTTCCACGAGCGCTCCCTCTGGGAGGAGGGTCGGTGGAGCTCTCCGTACCCAGCCCGGCCCCGCGCACGGACACGCCGTACCTGGTAGTTGCTGTCCATGCCAGCATCCAGGAGGACGTGCACCACGGCCTTGTGGCCGTTCCTGGCCGCCAGGTGCAGGGGAGTGTGTTTCTTAGTGTTGCAGCTCAGAAGATTGGGGTGGGCGTTCAGGAGCATCTTGACGACTTCCAGCCTCCCGTAGAGCGCGGCCAGGTCCAGCGGCGTCTCGAACTTGTTGTTGCGCATGGTGGGGTCGGTGAGCTCCTCCAGCAGCACCTTCACCACCTCGGTGTGGCCGTGCTGAGCCGCGCAGTGCAGCGCCG